TTGATCTACCGTCTTAGACCCAGTCAATTTTTCCTTTCTGCCCAACTAAGTCCTGCCCTCATCGAAAAATTTAATCGCTTCATCTCTATCTCAGTTCTTTCTCAATCGTAAATCAACCTTTCCAGTAAATTGTAATCCTTTCACCCATTTTTTTGTAACTTGTCAAAATTGTTTGATGTTTTGTTAATCAGCTTGTTTGCAATGAACTTTTCAGGTATGTTGAATTCTGTATGCATTCAAATACGTCAGAAAATTAAGCAGCGGCTCGAGACGTGTCGTATTCTGAGAGCATTCCAGTGCGTGCCTTTAGTTGCTTTCCTATGGAAAAAATAGGTCATGTTCTTCCAAAGTGCCTCTTTCCAATGTGAAAATGTGCTGAAGAAATAGATAATAGGAGATAAGAGATGGTAATGCTTGTATTCAACAGTACCGAAGAAAAGTGGCGCGGGCCAGGAGATCTGCGTTGCGGCGGTTGCGCGAAAGTGCCTTGAACGAAGCACCGTGTAGGCGGCATTTGCACCTGAACCTCACTGATTTGAGCAAGAGCGCTACTTGAATGTACAGAGACGACTCTAGTGCGTCTCCTACCTCTGTGGACTGTCGCTTGTAAGGAGGAGGACTAGTGGACTTTCTCTCATGGAGGAGATCGTAGCGACCGGGCGATTTCCGCGGTGTAATGCTGGATCCTGGAACGCAATCTCATGTTTCTAGACTTTAGCGCTAAGTGGCTTCTGTCTTTGTCGGTGGCGAGTTTTTGAGGGTCACATGGTACAGAGGAGGCAGGATTTCTCATACTAAGCCAGAGGGGGCGGGATATCTCGTAGGAGCAAGTGATCTATGTCTCTTCACATGTTCATTGTGGTTTTACTGAGTATTTCCTGTGACCACATTCTCGATCTGATGCTGCGAAACAACCTCTGAAGGCTCACTCCCACGTTCGTGATATGGGCGGAGCTAGACTTTACATGTCTCACCTCTTTGACATGTCCCTGTCTTGATTCCCAGAGATTAAAGAAAACGCATAAGAGTATCTATAAGCAAAAGGATCCAGGTCTATGGGATGATTTACGACTTTGCCGGTATGAATGTTAGAGTTCGAGAATTGGAATGCTGATCAAGTTCTGCTCACCCCACTCAAGGTGAGTAGCACGCCTGAATGGTTGAGTTCAGAAGGGATTAGATGGTAATATATCTGGCAAGCTGAGAACGTCTTGAAAGCGTGTGAAATTCTCTTTCCCCTCCTGTGGGCAATACGTTTTTGATAAGGAAATATGGAGGCGAGTGTGGTCGCGTCCTCCATTGCGGTCGCATTGGAAAAGCCGTCAAAGGGAGGGAAGTGGGTTATGCTGAGAGATCAGTTTCTTCTGACAACCTGCCCTGTACAATGAAATTGACCAAAGTCTCTCACGTCACGAGAAATGAGAAAGGACTTCTATCAATCATCTTTTGCTGGATTACCATCTGGAAACTTAAAAACAGAGGTATTATTATAGGAATCCGAGGGCTATCAAGGTTTCGTTTGTTGCAAATAAGGAACCGCCGCCGTCGAAGAACGAAAACAATTAATAATGTACTAGCCTTCATTCAGGCTTCCTGAACTCCGAACGTAGAGCAAAGAATGGTGCGCCGGTTTTTCTACTTCTCGGAGAAGAAGCTCGAAAAAGGGAGGGGGCAGTTCTTGGCGACGGGTATTTTTACATTCATATTTAATCGACGTGCCGACCCACCTAGAGAGACCTTTCGTGAGTTGACAGGTTTCACCATTGTGGCTGGACGAGCTTGCTCTCGCTTCATGCTTCACAGGAGTTCACACTTTTCATCAGGTAAAGTATGGAAACCGGAACTTATGGAGCGATGAATGTGCAATTGCCCTTCCCGTCGCCGAACGAGCCAGGCTGGGGTTCTGCTTTCGGCTCATGCTCTGTCCATGAGTATGGGCTTTTCTTCGGCTGGAATAGCGTCTAGCTGAGCAGTTCTGGTTTACATCCAAGTGGGAGACTGCAAAAGAGCCGCACGCACCTGAGGTGGGTCCGCATTAATGTGGAGAGGGAGAGTTCAGGGGATGCAGAATTCACCAGAGTGCTCAGTTGCGGGAAGAGGTCAGACCTCAGGAGGGACTCGAACCAGCATCCGCCGCTGACTAGGCTAATGCCTAATAACGCAATCGAGGGCGCTTTTACTCTCACAGCTCATCCGCTCAATGGCTTTTGTGGCCCCACAGTCCGGATAAACTGAATACTGTGTAGCTGCAGCTCGGGTCAGCGAGGAGATGGCTAGAGTCTGACTTTCCCATAACTAAGACTCTTATGATAACTTTCGGAGCGCGAAGTGCGGTGTTAAACAGAAGGTGTTCAAACAAAAACAAGAACTTTCACCCTTCATACTCGCTTAAGTTGCGGGTTTTCTGCGGATAACTGGATTCAAAGTGAGGTATGGGGTGGGTGATGTTAGACTTTGAAGTTGAAAAGAGCTGTGCTTGAGAAAAGGTGAAGAGGATGGGTCGTCATAACGTGCCCTACTTGCAGCTTTCATTGTGTACATTGCGGTTGACTAATGGTTACTGTGTTAAGGTCATTGTACTCGGAATCTACCTCCTGACTCGGAGCCTTCTTGAGGGGCAGTTAGATTGCTGCAGACCAATTCGGGGAGTAGCCGCCCGAAATTAAGCAGCTACAACCTTCCGGCCGATCCGCTTGCAGGAATGGATCAACTCTGACCGCGAACCCGCTACTAAAGATCGTTGACCCATAAGTATTGTTGTAGGTGTTCTCCAGGTAGTGCTCTTATAGGCCTCTTTCAGGTGACATTTCATAAAGTGTTAAATGCCGCTTACTGGTCAGCCATTCCACGCTGTCGCTCACTTGTAGCCCGAAAAAAAGGTTTGTGAGCATCGCCAAGCGTCTCTACCTCACTACCAGGGGAAGCCCTCAAACAGCGTATCCCATGCTGATTGTGTGGTCGTAAAGCCACTATAAGGTGACCTTTTTGTCGCCTCACATCAATACGCCCACCAAGTTCTCGTGGAATGTGCACTTGACAGGCTCGTTAAGGGTTCAGCCAAAGGGAGCTCACAGTACGTTCATGCCAAAGTTCACACTAAGCAGTTGTTGTCCACAGACACCTCACTACACGTCATGAATTGGTCTCTCACATACGACCCCACAACCATTCCAGGCGAAGCGCAGCTATCGACCCCTCGAGGGTTTCTCAGAGGATGGCTTAACCCTATTCTCGATGAATGGATTCGGAGAAAACGGTGAGAAAGCTGGGGCTGATGAGGTCAGCGCCATCCCCTTAACTGCGACACCGTTCTAATCGCTCTCCTTCACATCAGACGCAAGGTCAGCGAGACGCCCCGCAGTGAGACCCGTCGCCAGCACCAGCTAAGGGCGTCTTCAGGACTTGATTTTTAGCGGCTTTCAGCCGCTTTTCGCACACCAATTGTGGAATGGAAGCTGGCTAGGCGATGCAAATTAGTGAAAAACTAGCTAGCGCCCCCGTACGAAGCCCTGGCCCCCCCCCCCTCCTCCGCCCTCCTCTTCTGACACGGCAGCCCAGCGTCCGAGTGAACACCACTGTATTCCGCTTATCTGTCGGCGGGCGCCATATTGGAACAGGCGAACTTTTGCAAGCAGGAGCTGGGTTTGGGCAGCGGCGCGCACAAGCATGTTTTATCACGCAAATGTGGGAAGCTAGTAGGCAATGCACATTTTGATGCAGGAAGTAGGCTGGGTCACGTCAAACAGGTATCACCACGTGCGTTCCCCGCTCATACCCATCTCCTCTAACATGTCCCAGCACACCCTCCCTCCCTCTAAAACGACCCAGCATCCACAGGAAAGAAGACTATCTGAACCCTTTCAAGTCTTCTCCTCTCACAACATCACGCATTCCTTTATACCCAGCCTCAGGATACTTGTCAACCGCGAAGTCTCCCTTCTCTTTCCTCCTTTCTTCCTTCTTTTCCTTCTTTCCTTCTCTCCTCCTTTCCTGCTCTGCTCTCTTCCTCAACTGCTGGGCCAGTAGACGCCATGAGAAAATATCTCTGAACCCTAGCAGCGATAGCATGTCTGGTTGACTTCTCCCATCTGGGCATTACCCAGACATCTTTTTTTTCTTTTATTACGCATACAACAAAACTTTGTTACGGAAAAAACACGTGAACGACGTATTCATGAAATAAATCTGTAACGACACACAAAGTGCGTTGAGCAGTATAGGAACGAAGTAGAAGAACAGCGAGAGGAGATAGTGATGAGCAGATTGATGTGGGGGGGGGGCATGGACAGATGATTGTGATGGTGATGCTGGTGGATTGTGCAAGACGCATGTAACGGTCGTCACGACATACGTCACGGTACGCTACGAACAACGTACACGAACTCATGAAATGAAATAAGTACGAAGTAAGAGAGTAAGAGCCTCACTGACTAATTGAATTCATCACTAAACGCTTACTGTAGCTGAACGACGACGACCCACAGAAATGTGGCCGAATGGGAGGGGCGAAAGACGCACACGCACGTCTGATATTTAGACGATTTACCGGGCACTTGGCGGACTTTAAAGGAATGATGTTCGATACGGTAGCAATGTGAATGACTCCCGTCATCGTCCCTTTAAATGACCGCCATGGTTACCGTAATGCTGCTGTTGTTGATGATGATGAAAATGCAATTGGAGAACTATGAACTCGAGAGAGAACGCTTTCGAATTTATACAAGGAACACCAGATCAAACACACAGGCGACAATGACGAATTCAATCCGAGTCGGGGAATGGACCAGCCAGCACCTTCTTGATAAATTCTGAAAACGACACTTTATTACTCGAGCGATCAAATTTTGTGCAGTAGCTAGATGAAATACGGACTGTCTTGCCGCTGGGGGAAATTTTTGGAAAAAACGACGCCCCTGATTACGACCCCCTCTTATCCATTCTATCTGCCTTTTTCCTAGATTTTCCCAACTTCCAACCTGTTTTTCTGGAATTCCCCAAAAAATTTCTAGTTCCTCCGTGGCAGGGTAGAAGGGGGGGGGAGAGCGAAAGCCGCCCAGCTCAACCTAGCCCTGGGTCCATGCCACATCATTCGCTGGGGACTTTGGTTGAGTCCTTAAGACCCCTCCTCTAGGAGGTGACTTCTTGATACGACCTCCCCCCCCCAGCTCCCTCCTGATCGAACTCTGAAGAGGGAGCCACGAAAAGCCAACGCTCTCTCGCAGATGGCCAGAAGGCAAATGCGACTCCCCTCTATATAGCCTCCCTGAAACAAGAAAAATCGACTACTTAATAATTGTTCTCGGACCAAATACGACCCCCTCTAACAGCCACCAAATACGACCGACCCTCTTCTGTTGGGGAATATGATGTGCCTGCCTGGGTCCTCTGGAGCACTATGGGGGATTCGAAGCTGGCAAGGGATAATTTGGGTCCTGCCACCCACTCGATAAAGTAAATTACCATCCAAATCCTTCCACGGTCTTAAACGGAACTCGGGAGCGCGGCTTACCCCTAGAAGCTCGGCTGAGGCTCACTGCCGTGGATATGAGGGGCTTTAAGCACAGGTAAGCGCTCCAATAGGTTCCTAGTCAAGAGATAAGTGGCGTGACGTCACATAGCACATCAGTGACGTGTCTAGAGACGTCATTGGCCATGAAACTGTACAGGTTTCCTCGTCATTAACAAGTAATTTGACACACCGAATAATGCGCCAGATCGTCATCGACAAGTCAAATCCCTTCTTACTCTTGATAGGGAAAGGTCGTGTGCTATAGCTGTGCCGTTTACCATTCAAAGTTTGGGAGAAAGTTCCTGACGCCGAGGATCCCCCATTAGCAGGTCCCAGTGTTTGCAGCCGACCCCTCCGAAATGCCAGTATTGCCTCAATCCCAAGCCTTCGAACGAGGCTTAGCGAGGCAGTGTAATACCCACCAAGCCCGATCGAGCACCCCCACACCACATTCCAAACAACTGTCAGGGCAAAAAAACAACACGCTACTTGTGACAAATTCCCAGTTTCATGTATAAACGATGGATAAATGATAGCGAGTAAAAGACAACTGAACTGACCCTCGTATTTGACCATACCCTCAGCGTCTTCAACTCCTTTCAGCAGTTCATCGACCTGAAATTGCACTTTGAAAACCACTGAGGTTGGAGAAGGTCCCAAAAAGCGAGGGTCACTACGAACCTCATCGGCTGAGAGTCGTTCTCCGAGAGCGAGAAGAATGTGTCTGAGCTCTGCGCAAAGGATCTTTCCACATTCCTCCTTGTCGAACACCTTCAAGCCTTCAACGAAATCAGCGTACGTGCCCTGCTCCTGAAACGAACGCCTGTGATCACTGGAGAAAGAAGAGAGGCTATAGACAGACTAGCGTAACAAAAATGCCGTTGGCAAAAGTCTTGCCCTAGAACATTGGCTTCTACTTCACCTTTACTAGACTAGCTAGTGTGACTGTCATCAACCCGCGGCCAAATTCCGCTCGCTCATCCGCTTCATCCTGGTAGCTTTAGCCATATTAGAAAAAAAAATCACGAAATCCTTTCGCTTGACCCGTACCTTTGCCCTCCGTAACCGCTTGCCCTTCTCCTCCCAGTACGATCTCGTGCACGCTCATGAGAGATGGCCGTATTCGGGTGCAGAGAGTAAAGAGTTCCGCGTTTGCTTCGAGACAAACTTCTTTGATGACATTAAATTTTTTCTGTATACTTCCTAGCAAGAGCGAAATTGGCAAGCATGACTACCGCATATTGGTTGATGGGAAGTTGTATTACTCCTATCTCCAAATAAGTCAATTTTTGGTAAAATCGTTGGTGAGAACAGTCGTGTACTGAGTAGGGTAGAGAAGGAATCGAGGGATCTCTGATGAGCAACGATTTTCCACTCTGATCTTATTTTCGCTGGCACAAGAGCACAATGGCGTGAAGGTATTGCCCAAGTGGAGATGAACATACCCTCTTTCGACTTGGCACTGGACAAATACATGGCGTGTTCAAGAGACGATAGTCCTTGCATCTTTCTCATGGGACTCTCACCGGTGGTAACGGCAACTCCCCAAAGGATATACTCTAGGAGACGTAGACGAGACGATTGGGTCTAGCGTCAGGATATATCATTTCGATGACAGTACGGCTCACCCCCTCCTTCTCCTACCCATGTGGACAAAGCAACAATGATGTGCACTGTCTGGCAGTGGTTCAAATGACCAGCTCCGTTATGAGTAAGTTACTAATTCACTCTCCCCTATAGGTATATTGGTTGGCAGATGAGATCTTTATACTCTGTAAATCGAGTAATCTCACCCGTGGTTGAGTCGGCCTACCATGGGATCGGGTTTAATAATGGGCTTAGAGGAAGGACGCAGCTGTCTGGGCTGCCCGGCAGAGTAAGAAAGCCCGCATCATAGGGCAGAAAGAATTTCTACATTCATAAATCGAAGATATGAGCGTTTTTGGTACAAACATAGGAGCCATGTAGAACCTTCACCCGCCTGACAGATAGGAGACATGTAGAACCATTACGCCGCCTACAGGATCATATTCCCCGCACTTACCCGAAAGACTTTAACCCGAAAGACTTTAAAATCTTTTCCATCTGAAGTTTGCCTGTTTTCAATCTTCGCTTCTCGGAAACAAACTCCATTCGGCCAGATATTGTTGTAAACGACAACAATAAAAATAGAGCATATTTCATCGATTCAATCAATTCGTAGTGTGTCGTTTCCCTTGCCACTCATTGAGGTCTATTACAACGCGCGCAGAGTGTGTGTGTGCGAGAAGCATCTACGACAGCAGCGAATCCGTCGGCAGCTTTCTGGGATTGCAACTCAACGAAGTCCTGGGAAAACAATGAGGGATGGGTGGACGACTACATTCGCAGAATCAACTCAGTAAAATACTCATCAAGACTGTTCAGAAAAGCTAACATTGGAATAGAAGTACCTATACGGTGTAGGAGTTCCTGCGAACGCTTCTCACTGAATCCCTACCTTGGAAGGTGTAGGAGTTTCGGTGAATGCTTTTCACTTGATCCCTACCTCTATAAGGGGATTCTTAGTAATGGCCGGCAATTTTTCGAAAACAAACAGTTCCAGATGATAAAGTGTCGGCAGATGTTGATCCACTTCACACAGCTTGACGGCTGGTGTAGATTTATGCTTGAGTGAATGGAATTTCGAAGGTTGCGCCCCCACATTATGCAGGTTGATGGTAAGGGAGCTTGGCGTTCAACGAGTCCTTCTAGGATATGCCATGCATTCCACTACCATCGAGAATCGCGGTATAAACGCGATTTAGCATACACAACTTTGCCAGAACTAACCCATGCACGACTCAGTGGCATTATTCTCCCAGACAAACTGGGTACCCACCAGTTGTCTCCGGGGGATCGTAGGTTTGGTTGGCATTGAAGCAGTGTGGCCCCGAGTCCAATCCTGGATCGATCGTGGGTGAGCGGCGTCACCTGCCACTACTCCAGTTTCGCCTTGATGAACAACTTTCCCGGGAATCACATACCAGCTCACCATTCGCTGACGTATGTGGGCGTTCTTAAGAGCTTCATGCGGGCTATAGAAGACACTAAATGGTTTAAAGAGCTCAAGGACATGGACATCTTGGTGGCCAACAAATGCAACTCCGAGGAATCTTCTGGATGGGAGGAATGCTGAGCTGCATCCTCACAGGTGAACTTTCGCACCATAGGTTTCGAAGCTTGGAGCAGTGTGAGAGTTCTCAGGTTCAAGCAGGACATTCCGTTCCTTTGATTCACCTTTAAAAACGCTATTACTGAACCGAGTACTTGCGAAGAGGAGTCGAAGAATTAGGAGGACCAAGGGATCAAGAAATAGAGTTTACGCCGTCCATTACTCCCTTTTTGGTATGCGCCGCGCATGCTACTTCCATTCAGAATCGTAGTGGCTTATTGAATGCGATGTGGCCTATACAATGACAGCGGGCCAGCCGATGTACAAGGCAGTGTTCTTATCCTCCCACACGTCTATAACCAACTTATCGCCCCAGGGGCAGGAGGCTTGGTAGGCCTAGACGGAAGCCGACCTACGATTCTACCCGCGGGCGGCGCGTGATAAGCGTGCCGCTTGCACTACCCCACCACCGTCTTCACAAAAGGATATATGGCTTTCTTCAGCAGAAGACGGCTCCAGAAAGATCATTTGCGCGAGGTTTTCATTGATCGGGGAGTTTTACGGGTCCAATCATGTGAGTTCGATCTTCTGTCGCTTTACTGAACTCCAGAAAGTTATTCCCCGAAAGACGCCTTCTTGAGCTCAGTTGTCAGAATAGTGATTTTGGCGGACAGGAAGGTCGGTCTATGCAGGTGGGGCTAATTCCATGGAATTAATCTGTCTTCGTTGATCACGAAGGGAACATTCGGCTCCCGATGAGTCAATGTGAGCCATTAGCTTCCTTTTGTGATGAACTAGTCAAGAACGAACTCCTGAGGGTTTGTGAGACTTCTGAGGATACAGCTCAGATGATCGGGATCCAATGCCAGGGGGCTGCTGACGTAAGAGCTCACGGTTTCCGCCTACGCAACGCGCTCATAGGCACGGCGATCGATCAGGAGGGAAATCGTCGAGCATTTTTCGAGAAGAGAACTCAAGATCCCGAGCGCTTGAGATTTATTTGCCATGCAGACGTCGGGCGGCGATGAGGGGGACGTTGAAGATAAGTGTACATACGGCAGGGCTTTCGAGGAATACGCTCAGATACTGTTGTGGATCAAGAGGTGCAAGGAGACTGACGACGAGGGGAAAACTAGATTGACGACTGAATGACTGACTGCACATAACAATGCCATGCACATAACGCGAGCATGAAATATCTACGTGAAAAATGCCTTTGAAATAGAATCCAAGGGGAAATTACGGTAGAAAAGGAAATCTACCTTCTCCTTGGACAGTTGCTCGAAGATTGGCAGCCATTCCTCGAAGGTTATGCGCTTCTCTCCTTTACGCTGAATTCCTGTCCGGAAGCCTGCGAAATCAAAATTGCGAAGTAATTGCAAAGAAAATTCAAAAAAGTCTCAATGAAAATTATAGATTATTGATCAGAGAAAAATGTAATCAGGATACCTTGACGACCATTGCCGTGTCGCTTGAGCCCAGCAGCCCGGACGACGTCTCCGATTTGGGTGCCGTCGATCTTGCCATCGAGTTCCTCGTCGTAGAGGTTGAAGATCTCCTTGAGCTGATCTGTAAGTATTCAGAATTCAGATGGCCCGAATAGGTCCTGTAGCGAAATTCATGAATCGGAATGAAAAGGACGAACCCTGAGACGGCATGTTGAACGTGCGGTGCTACGCGACTAGAGTCTCACTCGGCTAACGCGCAGTGTACAGCGAGAAGTTGCTGCGCTACGCCCCAGAGCGGCTATTTTTATTCCTGAGGAGGAGCGAGCCCGGATGTAATACAACCTCAGAGAGCATTTGTTTTGTCGGATACGCAGCATCAGCCGGCTCCCAGAGTTTACCGAGAAAACGGAGGCTGACGGGGACGAGTGTGAGTGGGGGGATACGGTATCCACAAGGGAGGAGGCAGAGATATTTGTCGTACCCCTCGAAACTCCGGGGCTTTCAGTGCGAGCGCTGCTTCGTACGATTACACTATCTTTGCGGGCCTGGTTGATCAACTAGTGTTTTCACTGGAAAATAATTGGCAGCCGAAGGCGCCCCCAGGTTCGTGGTCGCTCTTCGGGGATGGCGGACGTGGAGGAGGATAGTTGTGGGAACTTCCTTGATATTCTCAGAAAAATAAACTAAAGGGTTAGTTGGAGCGCCAACTCTGCCTTTTAATGAGAAGATTAAAACTTAGCAAATTTACAAAAGATAAAAAAGAAAACAGAAAAAAAAAATTTTAAATAAAAATAATAGAAAAAAACAAAAAAGATTAAAGAAATAAAATAAATAAAAAAAAAATTTTAAGAAAAAAAAAAGTAAAAAAGATTAAAAAAAATAAAAAAAAGAATAGATTAGAAAAAAAGAAATTAAAATTAAAAACAAAAAAAATTTTAAGAAAGAAAAAAAAATAAAAAATAAAAAGAAAAATAATATAGAAAATAAAAAAAATTAAAATAAAAAATTTAAAGAAAAAAAATAAATAATAGAGAAATGAAAAAAAATTTTATGATCTACTCCGTATCAAATGACAAGGCCGACCGACTACATGGGCCATCTCTTGCTTATGACATCAACCTTGATAGTTTACATAAAATTTTTATTAAATATGTTTATGTGAATGATCGTTACTCGTTAGTGAACCATCAAAAGGGAAACCTGTTGGACTCGATAGGTCTCTCTGCAATGCGCCTGTGTTTCACTTTTCATTCAAAGCTCGATTGCACAGTCCGAATTTCACCCTTGAAGATGGATCTCGAAGCGATCATAGCACTCCTCGCTAAAAGAAATTTCAGAAAAATGCGCTTTCCCAGCGCACTCAATACTTAGCCCTTCTGGTATAAAACCCCCTTTCCTTATGCTATCCACCATCGATGCGTGGGTTCTTCCCAATTTCCAAAAATTTCCGCCGATTTCTTCCCAAAAAACTCGCGTTGAGCGAGGTCCAGGGGGGGAGGTCGCTCATCACTACAACCTAGATAGGGCCACCAAGATACGACTCCTTCTCGAACACGAAACAAATACGACCTCCATCCGAAATGGAGTTTCTTAACACATAAATTTGTGAGAGTGAGTCGAAATCAATGAGGCCGGTGAGGATGATGAGCACGTGTGAATTAATTATGTTCTACTAGTGTGATAAATATCTATCAGTGGCTAAAGCTAAATAGTGACCCCGTCGTTTGTTACCCACGGATAATCGTCGCACCTACTTGTCTTCGTCCTCACTTCCCTCCATTCCCTCTTCATCTGCTTCCCTCCTTGTCTCTCTCTCTTTTGCAGCAACGAAGTGGCGTCTCGGCCGCTCAGCGCCGAAGAAGCCTCAAGGCTTCCCTCAACCTTTCTCGCTTCACGCAACCCAGGCAGCCGGAGAATAGCCGAGGCCAAAACAAGAACATGGGTGGTGCAACCAATTGTCGGGCAATCTTCCACGACGCCAGTACTTCAAATGAGGAGCAAAGACAGATGGTTCTCCGATTGGTTCTGCAGGTTCTATCTTTGGTTCTGCAGTAAAGATGGATGGTTCTTCTTTTGCATCAGTGTAGCCCAGACATTGCTCTTCAAACCGCCACTCGTCTTCCAAACTAACCCGCTACATCTCTGAGAAAAGTCTCCCGAATCAAACCTATGTCGAAATCGAGATCACGTCTAACAATAGGTGCGTTGCGCCGGCCTGCATTTCGATGTTATAGCATCCATAGTGTGCGCAAAAACTCGCGAGATTCTTCCAATTACCCTCATATTTTTGTTCTTATGCGCCCCTCTATAAAAAACCCAATTTCTAGAAATTATGAAAGGACTTTCTCGCCAACCTATCAGCTGCAGACATCGTGTTGCGCTATCGTTGCCCATCCGTTCAATGAAAGTGCCACAGGACAACATAGATGACCATAAGTAATAATTATTGAGTGTGCGACTCGATGAGGGATTCTTTGGCGAAGTAGTGAATGTAAAGTTTTTCT